AAGGCTAGATTTTAACCTGTATTTACTTACTTCTGATGTTTAGAGTTTTTTTTTTTATTATTCACTTGTGACACGTGGGTATCGCTGGCTGACCAGCATTTACAGCCTGTCCATAGATGCCCTTGAGAAGGTGGTAGTGAGCTGTCTTGAACCGCTGCAGTCCATGTGCTTTAGATTGACGTGGAATGCACTTAGGGAAGGAATTCTAACTTTAAAGCTCTTGGGACAATTTACTTTGTTTAATAATGAAAATACATGAGAGGCCTAAGACTGTCAAAGAAGGTAAAGGAATTGTGTTTTAAAGTTCCTGACCCTTATCGTAAAGTGCTTTACATAACAACACTATCTGTATTTCTGAAGTAATTAATGTTATGTAGGTGAATTCAATAGTAATTCCCCCAAACAATCGAGAATAATAACTGTTTTTAGTGATATTAGCTGACCCTACAAAGGCTGTTGTACTCTTCAAAACCTGGTTTTGTGTAAACATATCAAAGAACTTAATTAAATGTGACTTTACACCATTAATGGGAAGTCTATAGTTTAGAGTTTTGGTTCTGAATATTTGGTTAGCATATACTTGAAGAGCTATTATATTAAATCAAATGATTGAAAATTCTCTGAAACTTCTCTAATACCTCAGCCACAGCACAGTCAGCAGTCTTACTAAACTATTAAATTGGATGGTGTATTAATTACAGAACAATGATTTGGTTGCTAAATTTGAGATATGAATCCGAAATTCTGAGGCTCTGCTCTTGACTCATCAGGAGCAGTTGTTAGTGGTCTGTATGGCTAATTACTGGTACTTTGATTTTAGTCAATCAATCGCACTACAAATGGGGAATCCGATCCTCCGATCTGCACTCCTGCACTCAAGCAAGACTTAGCGCTGGGAACAGAGTTTCACAATTTCAGCCTGTCTTATTAAAGCAACGTGATGAAATTTCTGCATTGATCAGATCCAGAGCACTCCTGACCTCAGCCTGCCACTGGATATAGGGGTGGGGCAAAGAAGAGGAACATTGGATGCTTCAGTCCTACCATCTTGTGTCAAATAAGCACAGAGTTCTATGAAAAAAGTACAATAAAATTAACTGCAATAACGCCTCAACTGAGGTGAGTGTCATGATTGCCAATCTTCTAGTTGCAGTACAGTACGCTACTAATTTCTTCCTCCTCTTTTCCAATCCACAGCATTGACTGCATACAGTCCTGCTAGCTTTGCTCTGAATGATATGCTGAAACAGCAGCTCACTCTAATTCGCCAGTTTGTGCAAGTCAGTCGGCATCTCTACTTATCTGTTGTGGCCTCAATAGAACAGGACAATTACCATTACACAACCTTGGAAGAAGCAAAAGAGGTAACTAAACAGTCAATTCCATTGTGCACAGTAGGACTTTACAGTAACCCTCTTCCCCGTCAGTGTTGCTTGGCTGCCTGCGTGCTTTTAAAAACAGAGCAATGTGCAGTCTTTCAAGATGATAAACCCAGCCTATGCAGCAGTGTAGACAGTGACATTGTGTCAGCGTTCCACCTCATTGAAACTGACAGCAACGTTTGGAGTCTGTTTATGTGCAGGAAGATATTGCCTGATTCCCAGAAGGTGCACAGTTGAGGCACACCAAACCTGCAACTGATGGGGAATTAAATTGAAGTATGGAAAAGTTATGGCACAGAAAGAGATCATCTGCACAACATTAAAATAAAACAAAAATTTAGAAAACTAGCCACCTGGTCCATAGGCTTGTAGTTGACAGTGCTTCAATTTAGGGGTTTCTGCCTTCACCACCAAACTGGACAGTAAATTCCCATCACTCGCAACACATTGAGTCAAAAGATTTTTTCTCATCTTCTCTTTCATACTTTTACCAATCATTTTAAGTTGTGGCATCTTTGTACTTTACCTGTGCACTTGGAAGAACAGGTCTTACCTTCTCCATCAGGGCCCCTCAAAATTTTAAACCCCTTAATCAAGACACCCCTCAGCCTCCTCTGAATATTTATTTCTATAAATATATGAAGAGAAGATGATCAGTGAAGACACATGTAAGTCTATGCAATCTGAAATGAGGGCATTGTAATGGGAACAAAGAAATAGCAAAAAAACTGAATACATATTTTGGTTCTCTCTTCACAAAAGGGGACAAAAATGAATTCCCAGCAACATGAGGGAACACAGAGTCAAGTGAGAGGAAGCAATTGAAGAAAACCAGTATTAGTCGGGGGGGGGTGGAAATGGCACTAGAGAGCTTAATGGGGTTAAAAGCTGACATCCCTAAGGCCTGATAATCTGCACCCTAGAATGCTGAAGGAAGTAGCCTTGGAAATATTGAACGCATTGGTGGTCATCTTCCAAAATTCTATCGATTCTGGAATAGATCCTACAGATTGGAAGATCGCAAATATAATCCCAGTGATAAAAAAGGAGAGGGGAAAAAGAACAGAGGATTACAGACCAGTCAGCCTAACATTAGTTGTGGGGAAATTGCTGCAGTCTATTATAAAAGATGTGATAACATTTGGAAAGCATTAATGGGATTAGACAAAATCAGTATGGGATTAGTGCTTGGGCCCCAGTTATTCACACTATATTATAAATGATTTGGATGAACAAGCCAAATGAAATGTTTCCAGGTTTGCTGATAATACAAACCTAGGTGGGATTGAGAGTTGTAAAGAGGATACAAGGAGGCTTTAGGGCAATCTAGACAAAGTTGAGTGTATGGGCATACATGTGGCAGATGCAGTATAGCAGATGTATGTGAAGTTCTACAATTCAGTGTGAAAAACAGAAAGGCAGAGTATTGTTTAAAAGATGATATATTGGTATATGTGGATGAAAAAGAGATCAGGACATTCTTGTACACCAGTCCTTGAAAATAAACAGGCAAGTGCAGCAATCGGTTATGAAGGCAAATGGTATGTTAGCCTTCAATGCAAAAGGATTTGAGTTCAGAAGTAGGGATGTGTTGCTGCAGTTATACAGATCTTGGTAAGACCCCACCTGGAGTTTTGTTGCCCCTGGAGAGGATATACTTGTCATGGAGGGACTGCAGTGAAGGTTCACTAGGTGGATACTGGGGATGGCGGGACTGTTATAAGGAGATTGTTTTGAATGAGCCTCTATCTATTAGAGTTTAGCAGAATGAGAGGGGATCTGTTTGAAAAGTATAAAATTCTAACAGCAGTAGATGGATGCTTTTAACTTCTATGTTTCTATTACTGTTGCTCCCTACCCTTGACTTGGTACCAGATTTAAACTGGAAAAGAAAATCACCACCACAGGAATCCCTAGATTTTTGTGTCCTTTGTGACCAGAGACAAAATCAGTGCTTTGCAGCTAACTGTAGGATCTGGAACAACAACATGCATTTGTCAGGTGCTTTCAACATTAAAAAAAAACACTTCAGAATAATAATCAAAATATAAATACAAAGTCAAACGAAGGAGATATTAGGGAGGTGATTTCAAAGAGGTGTGGCTTTTAAAAAGGGTAGCAAATAAAAAGGAGGTTGAGGGAGATTAAAAGAAGATGATTCAAATTGTGGAATCTAGGCAATTAATTCCAAGACCAGTATACAAAGCGTTGCTCAGTGAGAAGGCTGGCACGTGGGGATAGGCAAGAAAACTGAACAAAAGACTGGCATTTTTGTTGCATCATTCACAATCTTAGAACTTCCCAAAGTACTTTACAGCTAAAGTAGTTTCAGGATGTAGTTAATCTCTATTGGTGGTAGAAAATGTGAAAGCCAATTTCAATAGATGGCAAATAGGAATTACTGGGAATAAACGTTGACAAGGATATCAGGGAGAATTTCCTGGCAATTCTTCAAAATAGCAACATGAAATTCTTTATGGTTCAGGAGAAGACAGACAGAGCCATTATTAAAAATCTCATCTGAAAGACAGTATCTGCAGTAGTGCACCACAAAGTACTCCTCTGAAATGCCAGTCTAGATTTCTTGTTCAAATCTCTGGAATGGCACTTGAACCCACAGACCTCTGACTGGGGGATGTGAATGTTAACAACTTAAAGGATTGGGTGTAGCCAAAAAAAGTGTTTTTTTACATTTACATTCATTAATTTGGAGAGCAACCAATTGTCACGTATGTGCCACTTTAACCTGTTGTAATCTTTTCTTGTCCAGTTTATCAGAAGTCATAGGTCGCCACCACTTACTTTGGATGAGGCCTTGGAAGAGGTGCAGCAGGAAATGAAACAATATCACTGCATATGATGACCAACAAGACAGAAATAAATACTGCATTGTTAATGATGGAGAAAAGAGCAGCTTCTGCAACTGATACCCCTATCAATGCCACCTGTAAAACATTTAACATTCTGATGCTCACTTATTAACACCGCTCTTCAGACTTCAAACTAATTACAAGTGGTCTAATTCTGCAGTTAACACACCACATTATCTTACCGTGTACAGATGGACCCTATTATCCCTGGCTAACTCCAATATTCAATAGAATCTACTTAATTTTCAGTATTTTTGCATCAGTAATATTTATATGCCTAACAAAGCTTCACTACAAAATTGTTTCATGTTGTAACAAGTATGTATGAATTGGTTACTTAGAATTTATATTGGATGTCCCAAAGTTTTTCACAGCCATTTAATTCCTTTGAACTGTAGTCACCTTTGTGAATGTGGTAGCTAATTTCTTACAAGACTCCACAGCCACCAAATAACATAATTAACCAACTTATTTCTTTGTGATACTGGTTGAAAGAGGAACTTCATCTAAGATCTCCCACTGTTCATATAGTTCATACGCACTCATCTGATTAGGCATCCAGGGCCTCAGGTTTGAAATCTTGCTTAAAAGTTATACTCCTGATGTACAACAATCCTTCTGTATTATATTTGTGTTAGCCTGGGTCCTATGTAGATTGGGACTTCAAACCAAATTCATCTTTCTTAGGAGACAGCATCACAGATCTGAACTAAGCTTACATTTGAAGTTCTACATCCAATGTCCTATTTTGTAAATAGAACTCCTGAGTTTGTGAAGTTGGCAACATTACTGGATACTTACAAAGCTTAGTATTTTTGAGTAAAACTTCCTTGTTTGAAATTCCTCTTCAGACCAGGCCATTTTACATTCTGGGTAACAATAAATGCTAAAATGTGCTTTGGTTCTTGGACTAATGATACCTGGAGAGATTGAAAACTTTTAAAAGGAAATTTGGACTTCTAGTAAATAGTTCAATGAATGATGGAAAACTTCATACTTTAAAACATTTACTGTAACAAACAGACTAAAAGCACTATTGACCAAAGACACTTCATTATGGCAACTTGTGGTTTACTACAGAATGGCATGTTTAATGCAGCCGATACAGTGCACTTCACAGGTTTACTTTACACTGTCTTGTGAAGTAGACATTTGACTTCTTTTTTCCTCTTTGGAAACAGTCTAATATGATTAATTACTCTAGAAAGTTTACTTTGGAACTCTCCTTTCTCAACCTGTTAACTTCTAACCCCAGCACTGTTAATCATGGTGAGAGTATTACTGGAGATTTTCCCTCTAGTACAAACTAGGCACTTGTACCAGAATTTGGTCTTTTCAATGTGAGCACAAGCTTCCACTTGCATTTTGGGGATTCCCCCACTTTTCCAGCATGTTGGAGATTCCCAGTTTATCCACTGATAGCACAGAGGTTATTACTGTTGTCTCCAAGTGTAAACACCTTGTACCCTCTCCCGGTAAAACATCGTATAACCCTTTTAATCTCTAGCAATCAAACCACCCACGCTTGCAGATCAGCTTCAGAGCAGGATTTTACGATAAATTAAAGACATAGTCACAAACCACAACAATCTTTTAAACCTCATTATTGTAACAGACATCTTGCTACAGATTCAAAAGAAGCTATGTTTGCAGTTGGCGTTACTGAATCTGTGAAAATGTCCCAGTACCAGAAGGTATTTCAAAAGCAAAGGACTGTGCATATTTGAAATATGAAATAAAAGGAAAAGAAAATGCCATTTATACTCAGTTGGTCATTTTTGTATCTATGGAGAAAGAAGCAGAATTGATTTTTCAGGTCAGTAATCCTTTGTCAAAACTGGAAAACACTGGACATAGAGCAGGTTGTAAGCATTTATAGAAACCTGGAAAGGGAAGAGGAGAGGAAAAGAAAAGAATAAAAGCAAAGGTCAGTGCTAAGATGATTAAGATAGAAGTAATGATGGTACAAGGCCAAAGGGGAGTGGAAACCATCACAGCAAAGGCTGTTTGTTATTATATCAGCTCTCACACCACCCCAGGCTGGTAAAAATGAGCATGCTTCTCTCTTCACCTATCAGACCTGAATGTGAATCGTGGTTTCTGTTTTTAGAATTTAATATTTCTCTGAAAACTTCCTCCAGCAAACCAACTACCACTTAATCTACAATGTCACATGGGTGAAAATGTCGTGGACAAAATGTGCTTTCATTCACAGGATGTGGACCTTGCTGGCTGGCCCAACATTTAGTGCCCATCCATAGTTACCCTTGAGATTGTGGTGGTGAGCCACCTTCTTGAACCACTGCAGTCTATTTGCTGTAGGTGGACTCACAATGCTGTTTGGGAGGGAATTCCAGGAGTTTGATCCAGCGACAATAAGGGAACCATGACATGTTTCCAAGTCAGAATGGTGAGTGGCTTGGAGGGGAACTTGCAGGTGGTGGTGTTCTCATGTAACTGCTGCTGTTGTCCTTCTAGATAGAAGTGATTGTGGGTTTAGAAAGTGCTGTTCAAAAAGCTTTGGTACACACTTCTGCTATTGAGTGTTAATGGCAAAGTGAGTGAATGTTTATAGATGTGTTACCAATCAAGTGGGCTGCTTTGTTCTGGACGGTATCAAGCTTCTTCAGTGTTAGAGCGGCACTCATCCAGGCAAGTGAGTAGTATTCCATCACGCTTTGATTTATGCCTTGTCAATAGTAGGCAGGCTTTGGACCTGAGTTGAGTTGGAGTTGTTTCTCGCTGCAGGATTCCTAGCCTCTACCTGTTCTTGTAGCCACACTATTTATATTGTTATTACCGTCTGGCTACTCGAGGTTCTCTCCCGTTGGCTCGTCTGTCTGTGTCGGCTCATCTGTCTGTCAGCTTGTCTGCCTGACTGTTGGCTTTTCTGTCTCTTGTTCTTTCTTGCTGTCTGTCGTGTTCCATGTGCCATTCCCCTCGAGCTTCCCTCCTGTCTGTCTGTTCAACTGGACTTCCTTATTCCTCTCTGCTTTCTTTCTGAGATTGTTCCTGCAGTCACTTTGTCTTAACTTTGAGAAACTATTTCAGCTAAATCCAGATATTTCTGTGTGAGACTGTAAAGATTTAACTTTATGTTGTTGCTAAATGCTGTTTTTGGTGCTCTACTTTTGCTAAGCTGGAGGGACACAGCATTAGAAATTTTTGGGGGAAAATATATCTTGCATCATATTTTATTAAGCATTTATTTACAGTCTAGTACAGAACAGCTAGTACCATTTCATTTCAAAAGAAATTAATCATGTAAATCTGATTTTATAAGCTTGCATTGTCTCATGCTTCTTTCCATTGCTGTAGTTTCTTAGATGTTCTGTCACATGGTGCACTTGCTCATCAAGTTCTTAGTTCATTATTAAAGTAAATATTTACTTTAGAACATAATACAGAGACAATTAATTTTAATTTCTAACCTTTTGCTGCACCACCATATCATAGAGAGGCAGGAACATGCTCAACTATATGAAGTAAGATTTGTTCAACATAAACTTTTCAAAATAGCTAACATTTATACATTTTCACATTTTCAGACTATTAAGTGCACTCCTGAAATGCATTATCTTTAACTAACCCAAATATTTCTGCTTGGCTCAGAAGAGGTGTGGCAGAGCAGACGCTGGAAGATTGTTTCCCTTGACTGGGAAATCTAGAGTACAGAGGCTGAATTACGGACCAATCACTAAGGACTGAAATGAGGAGAAATTTCTTCATTCAGAGGATTGTGAATCTTTGGAAATCTACCATCCAAAGGTTGTAGATGTTCTATTAATTAATATATTTGAGGCTAAGATTTTTGGTTTTTCAGAGAATCAAGGAATATGGTGAGTAAGGAAACTGGAGTTGATCCAGCATGGTTATAAAAGAGGCAGGAACAGGCTCAATGATCAGCTCTCCTACCTCCTATCACATTCAAAAGAGATCCCAAGAGGGTTTGTCACAACCTTTTCTCTCCAACCAAACAAATTTTAATCCCACCTTGAGTATTTTGGTAACTAATAAGTGAAAGCATTTGAAAGAAAATGAGATTTTTTAAGCCCCTTCTAACTTTTCTCCCAGGTAGCTCACACAGTGTCCAGGGACTTAGTGTTTGTGATATACATAATGATCTGGAGGAAGGTATAGATGATCTGATTAGCAAGTTTACATATAACACTAAGATTGGTGGAGTAGCAGATAGTGAAGGGGACTGTCGGAGAATGCAGCAGAATATAGATAGATTGGAGAGTTGGGCAGAGAAATGGCAGATGGAGTTCAATCCAAACAAATGCGAGGTGATGCGTTTTGGAAGATCCAATTCAAGAGCGAACTATACGGTAAATGGAAAAGCCCTGGGGAAAATTGATGCACAGAGAGATCTGGGTGTTCAGGTCCATTGTAGCCTGAAGGTGGCAACGCAGGTCGATAGAGTGGTCAAGGCGGCATACAGCATGCTTTCATTCATCGGACGGGGCATTGAGTACAAGAGTTGGCAGGTTATGTTACAGTTGTATGGGACTTTGGTTCGACCACAATTGGAATACTGCGTACAGTTCTGGTTGCCACATTACCAAAAGGATGTGGATGCTTTGGAGAGGGTGCAGAGGAGGTTCACCAGGATGTTGCCTGGTATGGAGGGCGCTAGCTATGAAGAGAGGTTGAGTAGATTAAGATTATTTACATTAGAAAGATGGAGGTTGAGGGGGGACCTGATTGAGGTCTACAAAATCATGAGAAGTATAGACAGGGTGGATAGCAAGAAACTTTTTCCCAGAGCAGGGGATTCAATTACTAGGGGTCACGATTTCAAGGTGAGAGGGGAAAAGTTTAAGGGAGATATGCATGGAAAGTTCTTTACGCAGAGGGTGGTGGATGCCTGGAATGCGTTGCCAGCAGAGGTGGTAGAGGCAGGCACGATAGCGTCATTTAAGATGTATCTAGACAGATACATGAATGGGCAGGGAGCAGAGGGATACAGATCCTTGGAAAATAGGCGACAGGTTTAGATAGAGGATCTGATCGGTGCAGGCTTGGAGGGCTGAAGGGTCTGTTCCTGTGCTGTAATTTTCTTTGTTCTTTGTTCTTTGATCAGTTCCTACAATACTAGCACAGAGGTTGGAGCATGAGGAACAGCAAAAGCGTTACATGATACAGAAGCATGAGATCATAGAGGAATGTAAAAACAACAATGAGAATTTTAAATGGGATGCATTGGAGAATTGGGAGCTAACCAGCGAGGAAAAGAATGATAATTAACTGAGGCAGAGTGCAGGACAGAATTTAGGCAGCAGAGAAGGAATTTGTCTAATGACCAGATTTGCATGAAATGCATAAAGCCCATAACTGCTTTCCTAGAAAGTAAATTCCCCTTACAATGGTGAAGTTGGTATAAAATAAACTATAATGTTGCAGCTAACTTGAGCATCAGATTAGACGTTAGATTTATACAATATGCAAACTAATTTTCAAAATTTTCTCCCATACACATCACATTCTTAAACATCACTTTTTTTTCATTCAAACATACACCATATATGGAGTAATTCATGTTAATAGTCACATCAGTTGCTTTCCCTCCCAGCACAGTACTGTGGAGCAGCTAGTCCAATCTACTCAATTGGCAGCAATGAGTGACTAAACCTAGTCTTAGTGAGTGTAAACTAAGCACGGGGAATAATTATCTAGGATTCTCCAACTAAATGTTACCAGTGACCTATCGGAAAGTGAATGTGTTGGCTGGCTGGGTGAGGAAGGGATGGACTTGTCTGTGATTCTGGCTCAGGACCATGCTGTTCCAGTGTGTGTGTGACTAGCTTCATGGGTAAATGGAAGATGAATTTCAGAAAGGCTGAAGAATGTAAACCATACTACTATCCCAAGTACCAGTGGATGATTATTGTCTCAACTACCTCACTGTCTCCATCCACATCTCCAAGGTCCTATTTTAGCAGGACTTGGAGGCTGGCAGTGGCGTCTGTGCCAGACTTTTTAAAACATTCATTGGGACAGGAGGGATATTAAAATCCCTCAAATTAAGGTGCCACCCAGCACTGAAAAAAAGACTTCAAAAAACAGCAAATTCCTATAAACAGCAGTGGGATCATCTGTTTTAGTGTTGAAGGATAACTATTGGCCAGGACACCAGGCAGAATGGTCCTACTCTTGACATTTGAGAGGCCAGACAGCATTTTAGTTTGACAGCTAATGCTAAAGACAGGATTATCCTCAGCACTGCATTGGACTAACAATCTAGATGTTGTGCTCAAGTCACAGGAGTAAGGCCTGAACTGACATTTTTTTGATGCAGAGGCTAGAGTGCTGCCAAAGATACATGGCTAAGACTTGTGCCATGCGCTGGTTACTCTTGGATTGGCTGATTATTCCTTTCATGTCAGGCATGATGGCTTGCTAGAGGAATTCTTAAGCCTTACTACAGCAATGATATACATAATCATAAGACACCGGTCCCAGTGCTTGAGGAATGATTGCATAGTATCAGTTAACTGATCCACATAACACCATTGCAATCTTTTGCATTGCAGGAGAAATGCAGTTAAAGGACAGACACTTGCAATTTTTGATCTGATCACTTCCTTTTCAATATCAACATTGATAATGCATTACTTTAAACTGCACAACGCCAGGGATGTCGTGAAGTCAGCCACTCCCAGAGCTGGATAGAGGGGCTTAGTAAAAGTTTGCTCCCGGAAGTTGTGTAGCAGTGTTAGTTTCCTGTCAGACACACTGTAAAATGAGATTATTCCAACCTCAAAGTCCACATAGACTCCCACCCTTGTGGGCATTTGAGCAGTTAGTTTTGTGGCATTGTTATCGTGCAAGGCAGCAACGCTCCCTGGCTCTGAGTATAGACACCATGACTCCTTGTTCTGTCCCAGTGAACATTCTTTCCCTTTGCCTTTCCGGCTCAAACTCTCATAACACATCCCAACATCCCACCGACGGCGATCTCCTCCGATCTCCACTTCCCAGTAGCAGCGACCATAGCTCAATCTCTCGGTACATAGAATTTGCCACCAGTAGTTGAACCTCTTTGGGCTGTCAGAGTAAGGTTGCTGGTGTTTTGATCCTGATACAGATCGGTTACTGTCTGACAAAACGAGGTGAGGAAATGCTGTGTAAGGATCTAGAGTTGGTGTCTGTCCATCTGCAAATGAAAGGAGTAGCTTGAAACAATCCCAGCTGTTCAGTCCAGGGGAAGTGAACTGTCTGAAAGATCTTAGTGTTACTGGACAAATGCTGATTAGAAATAATACATTGAAAAAGGAAGAGGTCATGCAATGCTAGCGTGTATACTCTAATCTGATATGACATATCCAAACTAGGCATCTATGAGATGCTTTAGGCCATCAGCAACAATAAAGTTTTCTTCCATCACCACAATTTTACTCCCATAATCTCTTCCTCCAATATTATCATTAAGATTTAGGATCAATCAATGAGGAATGTACGTGCCCAGATCAGCATTGTTGGTAACTAAAAATGAGGTGCCAACCTGATAAAGTTACAGTAGTAAATAGTAGAAGTAACAAACAAAGCTAAGCAATCCATAATGAATGAATCAAATCAAGGCTCTTCAATCTTGCCACGTCAAGTTAGAAATTGGCATTAATATCCTTTCCTTCGTAAGGTCAAACATTTGGATTTTCACTGCTAATTGCGCTGTATTCAATTCTATTCACAATTTCTCATAATAAAACAGTCTGTGCTCGTACAAAGCAAGACCTTGACAACATTCAGGATAACTGGAAAGCAACATGCATACATTTTCAAGTGCTATGAAGATTTCCCATGCCTAATCAGCTCCTCCTGATATTTCCAAGAAGCTGGACACTATCCAAGACAAAAACGCCTACTGAGTTTCTTGAACGTTTTCTGTTTTAATCCCAGGAGTTATCATTTGTCAGAAACTGAACTGAACCAATCATAATTGCTGTGACTACTAGAACAGAGACTCAGAGTAATGTAGTGAGTAACTCACCTCCTGACTCCCCAAAGCCTTTTCACAATCTACAAGGCACCAATAAGGAGGGTGATGGAGTACACCTCACTTGCCTGGATGAGTGAAGTTCCAACAATCCCCAAGAATATCCAACATTAAGACGAAGCAGCTCACTTGGTTGGCACCCCTCCTACCACCTTAAACATTCATCCCCTGCACAAGTGTAACACAGTGTCAGCAATGTGAACATCTACAAGTTGTCCTACAAAAGCTTCCATGTATATTGTCTTTAGCTTCAAGAAAAACATGAGCAGTAGAATGTGGGAATGCCACTCTCTCCAAGTTCTCCACTCCACACTACCTTGAGGAAGACTACATCACCAATTCTTCCTGTGTGTGTCAAAATCCTGGAACTTCCCACCTGACAGGACTCAATTTGCCACACCACAAAGACTACAGCAGTTCAAGAATGCAGCTCAAGGGCAATTAGTGATCAACAATAAGTACTGGCCTTGCCACTAATGCCAACATCCCATGATAATGGGACCATCCTTCTCCCTGCATCATAGAATCCTACATTGCTATCTACATTCGGTCAAGGAGTTTCTTTGGGATTTCTATTAGGAATTGTTTTAAGTAACTGCTATATCTTTTTTTCAATATTCCTGCTTAATATTTTAAACTCATAAATTCTCGATTTCTCTTTCAATTTCTGATTTATCTTGAAATCTTTTGGAATAAACTATTTTTTCAGTGTTTCCCCTGAAAATTCTTGTTCTTCCCTCAACTCTTAGCACTTCTGCTGTAAACAGTAGGTTATGCTACAACTGCTATATTTGTTTCTTTAAGGTTTCTCAGAACTTTCATTGAACCATGTTGTAGTGACATACCCGTAACACCATGGAAAACCCATACAACCCTTAATACAGGAATTGGCGTAAAGGATTCACATCCTGGAATATTTCAGTCACAGGTGTGTGAGTGTTAAGCAGTTTATATTATTGGAATTCCATTCAATGAGTGGAAAATTAAATATTGCTATGGACACCCAGTGTGAGCAGTAATTGGTTGAGAAAGCTGTGTCATTTGGCTATGACAAGGTAATTTTTACACATTTGATCAGCATAAACTGCTCCTCGATCTTCACGTGTTCCAATAAATATTCTGTACATATATAGGGATCCATTCTGGGTCATGAATCTCTTAAATCTTTGTGGAATAAAGCTCTAACCACCATTCATGCCCTCCCCAATCCCCGACAATGTTTCATTAATTCCTGAGGAAGGTGAAAGCATCACTGGCCTCTTTAGTCAAGTGTGTAGCTGTGTCTATAGATACTTACACATACTGACCAGAAAGTTCCTGTCCAGGGCTGGTTGGGGTGCTATTACGTACTGCTGCTGGACCCATTCTAACAGTCTTTCCACATCAATATCCGAGCTGGGAACCGGTGCTATAAAGGGCTCAGATGCATCCTTCATTCTAAAACAGAAAGAAAAGAACTTGCACTGGTGTATTGTTTGTCACAACCTCAAACCTCACAAACCACATCATAACCACTTTTTTAAAAAAAATGTGATTACAGTTGTAGGAAACATGGCTGCTGATATATGCACAGTAAGCTCCTGTAAACAGCCCCACAATGACAACCAGATCATCTGTTATACTGATGTTGAATGAAAAGTCAGCAACCTGAAATATTAACTCTGTTACTGTCTCATCAGATTCTTCTGAACTTGCTGAGCATTTCCGGTGCTTTGTGTTTCTATTTCAACACTTCCTCAGTACTACATTGTGAGTATCATCCAGGATTATGTACTTAACTCTCTGAAGTTATTCTTAAACCCACTGAAACCTTCTGACTTTGATGAGAGGGAGCTATATGCTTAGCCACAGCTGACAAGTAAACCAGGCAGATCAGATTGCAACTAACTGTATTTATACAGCCTCTTTAATGTAATAAAGACCCAGGATGCCACACTGGGGCACTATGAAATAAGATATGAACATTGAACAATGGAAAGCAATATTACGGCAGGTCATCAAAAAGATAGGTCAATGAGGTAGTGTTTGAGGAGTGTTTTTAAAAACACAGAAACTAGGAGCAGGAATAGGTCATTCAGCTATTCAAGTCTATTCCACCATTCAATACAATTATGACTGATCATCCAACTCAGTACCCTGTTACCACTTTTTCCATTTATCCTTTGATCCTTTTATCCCTAAAAAGAACATCTAACTCCTTCTTGAAAACATTCAATGTTTTGGCCTCAGTTGCTTTCTGTGGCTGGGAATTCCACAGGCTCACCACTCTGGGTGAAGAAATTTCTCCTCATCTCAGCCCTAAATGGCCTATTCCTATCATTAGACTGTGAGCCCTGGTTCTGGACACCCTGGTCATCAAGAACATCCTTCTTGCATTTATCTTGTCTAGCCCTGTTAGAATTTTATAGGTTTCTATGAGATACCCCCTCTATTCCACTAGACTTCAGTTAATATATTGATAACTGATCCTGCCTCTCTCCATACGTCAGTCCTGCCATCGCAGGAATCAGTCTGGTAAACCTCCTTGACTCTCTCCATAGCCAGAACATTATTCCTCAGATAAGGGGATCAAAACTGCTCACAATTCGCCAGGTGTGGTCTCACCAAGGCCATGTACAATTGCAGCAAGACATCCCTACTCCCATATTCAAATCCTCTTGCTATGAAGGCTAAAATACCATTTGCCTTCTTCACCACTTGTTGATTCTGCATGTTTTCTTTCAGCAAAGGACACCCAGCTCTCATCGCACCTCCCACTTTCCCAATTTATTGCCATTCAGATAACTGTTCTCCATGTTTTTGCTACCAAAGTGGATCACCTCACATGTATGCACATTATGCTTCATTTGTTATTTATTTGACCACTCAACTTGTCCAAATCACACTGAAGCATCTCTGCATCTTGCTCACACCTAACTCTCCCATCCGTCTTTGTGTTGTCTGCAAATATTTATCCCTCATCTAAACCATGAATATATATTGTGAATAGCTGGGTCCAGGAACTACACCACTAGTCACTACCTGTCACTCAGAAAATAATCTGTTCGTTCCTGGAGGAAAGAGTGAGGGAGAAATTTAGGAAAGACATTCCAGAGCTGAAAGTCCTGGCAGTTGCAGGTATGCAGATACTCAAGAGTCCAGAAATAAAGAAGATCAGGTACTTCCAGAAACTTGTTGGAGATTCCAGAAGTAGGGAAGGATGAAGCTAAGGAGGGATTTGAGAATTTTAAAATTGAGCATTTCTTAGACAGGAGACAGTGTAGACTGTTGAGCATGGGAATGAAGGATGAATAGAATTTGGTCCAAGGGTAGCAGAGTTTTGGGTGATGCATGTTTATGAAGGGTCGACCTGGGGAGGCCAACTGGAAGAATATTATAGTAATCACAGAGAGACAAAGGCATTAGTGAGGGTTTCAGCAGCAGAAGTTTCAATAGGACAGGAGTGAACTTGAGCAATGTTGCAGAGATAGAAATAAGCGTTGTTGGTGATGACATACATATATGGTTGAAAACCCATCTTGTGGTCAAATAAAATACCATGGCTGAAAACACTCTGGTTCACCCTCAGGCAGTTTCAGAGACAGGGATGGAGTGTGAGCCTAAGGAATAGAGTTAGTGGCAGGGACCAGAGACAGTAATTTCAGTTTTCCAAATATTAATTAGACAAGATTTCTACTCATCCATCTGCTTATCCCTGACAATTTCAAGACAGTGAGGGGCCTGGTGAGCTGCTGGTCAGACAGAGCTGAGTTTCATCATTGTATATGTAGAAGCTGATGCTATGTTTTTGGCTGCTGTCGCCATTAATGAGCAATAGAAAAGGACCGAGAGTAGGACCTTAGAAGTCAACTTGGGTGTCGGAGCAGTGAGGAAAAAAATAATGCCAGAGATTCCAATGTTTAGGCTATGATTAGATTGAAAAGACTGGAACTGAGCAAATGCAATCATAGAGTTGTAGAGACTTACAGCATGGAAACAGGCCCTTTTGCCCAACTTGTCTATGCTGCCCAATTAATATAGTCCCATTTTCCTGCACTTAGTATATATCCTTCCATACCTATCCCATCCAATGTACCTGTCCAAATGTTTTTTTGAATGACAAAATTGTACTCACCTCTACCACTACCTCTGGCAGCCCATTCCAAACACTTACCACACTCTGCATGAAAAAAAATGCCCCCCCGGACCTTTTTGTATCTCTCTCCTCTCACCCTAAACCTAGTTTTAGACTCCCCTACCATGGGGAAAAGCTGTTGGCTATCTACCTTATCTTTGCCTCTCATGATTTTATAGACCTCCATAAGTTCACTCCTCAGTCACCTACACTCCAGGGAAAAATATCTATCCAGCCTCTCCTTATAACTCAAACCTTCCAATCTAGTTAGTATCCTAATCAATCTTTTCTGCACTCTTTCCGGTTTAATAAATCTTTTCTATAGTAGGGCAACCAGACTGCCAAATGTGGCCTCACCAATGTCTTGTACAGCTGCAACAAGTCCTATACTCCTATACTCAATGCTCTGACCAATGAAAGCTAACATGTCAAAAGTCTTCTTCTACCTGTCTACCTGTGACTGCATTTTCAAGGAGCTATGAACTTGTATCCCTAGATCTCTATAACACTCCCAGGGCCCTACCATTGACTGTGTAAATCCTGTCCTGGCTTGACCCACCAAAATGCAATACCTTGCATTTATCTAAATTAAAGTCAACTTGCCCAGCTTCCTCTTCTGATGGCTGTTCCCTTCAGCTGGGAAAAGTGCAGGAGGAGAATGGTGGCATCAACTGTGTGAAAGGCTGCAGACAGCTTGGGAGGCATCAGGAGGGTCAAGTTACCTTTGCTATAGTCACATAGGTAGTTATTAGTGAATTTGATAAGGACAGAAAAGGTTATAATAGGGTAAGATGGGGTTGTTGAGACCACTGCTCAAGAGGTCACAGCAACAATTGCTTCAGTAGGCCATTTTGAAGATGCCAGGAGACACAGAGAGAAGCCACAGACTTATTGAAGAATAATTCAATCCCGATCAACAGCAGGAAAAACAAGGGGTAGGGATTATTGGGGCAGGGATTTGGGAAGGACGAATACTTAAGGGGAGGAATGAAAGCAGGAACAATGAGAGCAGAGAAGAGGCAAGGAGGAATTGAGAGAAAAGAAGTGTAAAAGAGTGAAGAGAATAATTAAGTGGAAATGGTAATAGTGATCTCAGGTTAGAGCAACCACCAAAGTGCATACACAAGTGGACAAAGGGAAATCTCAAGTTACATTGGTGTGAATGTAAATGAGAATACACAGATCACAGACTGATATGCATTAACAGCACACTGCAAGTGTATGTTAGTTTGAGCGGAGACAGTATTAGGCACACTTTTGACCCTCCCCATGTAGAGCAAAGAACAACCAAACTCACTCATAAATAAACAAATATTGAAAGGCATTAAACGACAAACCTCAGAAATGAATTAAAATATGACTGATGAAAGGAATTATCAGAGAATGATGGAAGTATGTGGCTCTTACCTGTCTGCCATGGAATTGAGACCCTGGAAATGAAACACTCATTGTAAATAACATCATCAAAATTGGCTTTAGTATTTCAAATAACCTGTTCAACCATTCAAATATTGCCTGTTCCAAACATTTCACCATATCTTTTATTAATTCTTTTTATTTAAAAAGATATAATTTTGTGATTCTGAGAAAAATAGAGCCCAGCTATCCCTGACCTCTCTTTGAGGTTCTCACACTTTCCTACAATTTGTGCAGATTTGGAAAAAGTGCCGGACAATTAGTGCTACAACTTCTACTTGGCTGTCTCTCTTTTTTCACTGGATTACATTTGCATTTAGTCATTTATTCCCCTCTTGTTGCAGACTGCATTGGGGATTTTGCCCTTTCTCCAGGGTTTCACCAACTTCTCAGTGCTAAAATTCCAAGTGCTGAAAAGATCATCTAGCACAAAAGGAAGTTTTGTTTTTAATGCATTATATCAAAATAGCCCCATTTCTGTATCCTCATAGTCGATCAGACTTTACTTGCTCAAGTACATTTCTAATTCCTTTTTGAGCATTACTTATTGAATCTATTGGTAATGGTAATTAACCATAGTCCGCAAAGAATCATAGATATCTCTCTCCATTTCAGAGAAACAATTAGTTATGTAGCTTCAGGAAAACCATTCCACAACCATGGGACAAAACAAGGAGATGTGCATTCACACCCTACAGAGCTGGTATGGAAATTTAACCCACACTGTTAGCAGCAATCTGCACTGGACTTTTGACATCTACCAAACGGAACTAACTAACTTCTATAGTCCAGATCTAAAAGCAAATTCAAATCATCACAATGCAGAGTGTTATAAAATACATATCACTGGTCCTTTCACCAGTGTTATAAAGTGGAGGTTAACCCCGTTCTGAGAACCAAAACCAAAACACCCAAAGAGGAGCACCTTGCCCTATAATCTATTAAAAGAAGTATGAACGGGGACGTAGCCTATCATTCAGCAACTTGTAGTGGTTAAATCAAATAAATCTCTGGCATTCACTTTACAATCAACAAGTAATAATTTATTTATCTAACTCCAACAGTGAACAAGTTAACTGAACTATTTACAAACCGAACAAAATCCCTTCTAACTACTAAGTATTCCTGAATAACACAAGATTCTAATGGTATGCTGTTCCAATAAATACAAATCCAACTTATATAACAAAGCAATAGAATTTAATCTCTCGAAATTACAGCCAGGTTGCATCTTCCAGAATGTTTTGTGTCTTCTCCATCGATTCTTCTGTCAAGAATGCTTTCTTTGTGAATTCTTCTGTCTTAGCTAGGAATCTTAGATAGGATTGTTGTGGTACCATTGTGAATTAATGATGCTTTTTCTGTAAGCTGAGAGCTGTTATCTCTAGCAGATGGCAGTTAGTTCTTCTGATTTTTCAACTGCTCCCTTCTTTTACACTCCTGATGATATATCAACCAGATTGGTCCTTAGGTTGTCAAAACCATCAGATTCAAATTTGATAGGTTTTTGGTATCTAAATGCCTGATCCAAATTGATTGGCTAAATTCAAAAACTTGTTGTCTTGGTAAACATGTTGCTTGGCCTGCTAATGTTGTGGCCTTTCAATTCAAATATTTTGATTCTGGTGCTCTCTATATTTGCAAACTTTCAAGCTGCTCACAGATATCTCCAAGCATAGAAAAAGCACAATCTTTTAAAGGGACCAAAGCAATGCTTTCCCCCAGCATTTTACAAACAATAATATTTTACAAACACCAAATTCTAACATCCTGCCTCCCAATCCACAAATAGTGTACAACACCAGTTAACTTAAATGTATATTTTCTGTTTATCAACTCTCCTGCCATTGGAAATTTCATTTTTAATACGTACAAGCCATCCATAACTTTGAAGACCTCTATTCTTAAGAGGTGATGATGGCAACTTGATAATGTCACTGCCATAGTAATCCACACGATCCTCTGGGGACAGTTGCTCAGTATATGGCAGTTTATGGAATCTTAATTCAATTAATAAATCCAGAATGCTAAAGCTAGTCTCATATTTGGTGACTATATAAAATTAACATCATTCATTGTTTAACAAAAACCCATCTGGTTCATTTTTTAACTTGGTCTGGCCTACCTGTGACTCCAGGCCTACAGAAAATTGGTTGACTCCGCTCTCTGCAATGGCCTAGCAAGTCACTTAGTTCAAGGGCATTTAAGGATGGGCAGGAAATTTTGACTTTGCCAGGTACAGCCACATCCTATGAAAGGATAAAGAATTCTTTGGAGCGCTGAATCTCCTTTGGAAGGATGAACAAAATGGCAAGAGACAGCGAAGCACGCTCCTGGACAATGTTAATGACTAGCTTAACCAGAATACCAACAATGATGTCATCCACACTTGCTATCACTGAAAAGTTTGGAAATTCATTGCTTGTGGCATTTAGACAATGATGACTCTTACATTTCTCCTTCATCTGCTTTAAGGACAACAATCCCAGTTGCTGTTATTTAATAAAAGCAAAGATTAGTAAACAATTAGAAACATGTATTTTAATAGAATATAGGAATTTAAGGGTTTGAAGAGGAATTAGGAACCCACTACTTAATTCCTCATTTTTATCCCTCATGCCCTCCTTGCCAGAAATACATCCCATTGTTTCCTGTCTTCACTTACTTCAATCGTACTGCTAACTTCCTAACATTTGTGACCAATTGGTTTTGAACCCTTCATAATAAACTTATTCCTAAATAGAGTTTTCCAATTCTTTCCATAGTTCCATAAACTTCAGTTGGATGGCTATCTGAATTGCTTAACCTTAACTTTGTAATATTCTAGAACTCCAGTCCATTTACCATCTGAAGCCAGAGTTCATGTGTTCATGTTTGCACACAATACTGTATAATTGGAGACATCGAGAAAGGTGCAGTACTACCTGGATAAAAAGAAGATCTTCGTTGTGTTTCAGAAGGTCACTGAGATCAGAAAAAGACTTTTCAAAGTCTTTCACTTTCTTTTCCAGATCGCAGATCTTAACATCAATCTCTGTAGTCAAACGGCTTTGTTCACATTCCAGGTACCGCAGAATCCTCCTCTCTTCCTTGTCAATGTGCTTTCTCAGTGTCTCGTATTTCACTTTAATTTTCATCTGTACAACTTTTTTCATGCTCTTAAAATGCAGAGGGAATTTTGTCACTAACAAGAATAGACTAATTCACCTTACTGTTGCAAAAATGAGATGATTTCCATTAAGAAAAAATCCTCTCAACACTTCCCTCTTACTTATGGTAGACATTATGATGCTGAAGGACAGATTGTTCACTCTCATTTTTGACCGGTTTAACCAGAAAGCCTAACATCTGTCATTTGGAAAATGACAGCATCCCGGATTAAGGATGTAGTAGGAGGTCATTTGGAAAAACATAACGTAATCAGACAGAGTCACAGACAGAATCATGATATTGTGAAAGAGAATTGTATTGACTAATTTATTAGAGTTCTTTGAGGGTGTATCAAGCAGGTCAATAAAGGGAACTAGCACAGTGTATTTGGATTGCTAAAAAGCATTCGATAAGGTTATACGTGAAAGGTTACTATGCAAGAACAAAGTTCATGGTATTGATATAATGTGGATAAAGACCATAAAACCATTACATATGGGAGCAGAATTAAGCAATTTGGCCAATCTACTCTGCCATTTGATCATGGCTGATGTGTTGTTCAACCCACTTCTCCTGCCTTCTCTTCGTAACCCTTGATCTTCTTACTAATCAAGAACACATCTACCTCTGCCTTAAATATACTCAGTGACTTGGCTTCCACAGCTCTTTGCAGCAATGAGTTCCATCAATTCACCACCCTCTATCTGAAGAAATTCCTCCTCATATCAGTTCTAAAGAAGTGTGCTATCATTCTGAGGCTGTGCTCTTGGGTTCTGGTCTCTCCTACTGATGGAAACATCTTCCCCACGTACATTCCACACAGGCCTTTCAGTATTCAGTAAGTTTCAATCAGATCTCCCCTTATCCTTCTAAACTCTATTGAGTGCAGACCCAAAGTCTTCACCCAAACCTTACATAATAAGCCCTTCATCCCCACAATCATTCTTGTAAACCTTCTCTGGACCCCCTCCAAGGCCAGCACATCCTTCCTTAGATACGGGGCCCAAAACTGCTCACAATATTCCAAATGTGGTCTGATCAGAGCCTTATACAGACCCAGCAGTTTACCCCTTTAATGTATTCTAGCCCTCTTGAAATGAATACTAACATTCTATTGGCCTTCTTAACTGACTACTAAACCTACACGTTAACCTTAAGAGATTTCTGAACTCAGACTCTTAATTCCCTTTGTGCTTCAGATTTTGAGTCATAGAGTCGTAGAGATTTACTGCTTGTAAACAGACCCTTCAGTCCAACTCATTCATGCCGACCAGATATTCTACATTAATTTAGTCCCATTTGCCAGCATTTTGCCCAAATCCTGCTGAACCCTTTCTATTCATATATCCATCCAGATGTCTTTTAAAGTTGTATTGTACCAGTCTCCATTACTTCCTCTGGCAGCTCATTCTATACATGTACCACCCTCTGCGTGAAAAAATTGCCCCTTAGGCCCATTTTAAATCTTTCCCTTCTCACCTTAAACCTATGCCCTCTAGTTTTAGACTCCCTTACCCTGAGGAAAGACCTTGATTATTCACCCTATCCATGCCCCTCGTGATCTTATAAACTTCTATAGAGTCACCTCTCATTTCTGCAGATTTTAACCATTTAGAAAGTATTCTATGCTGCTACTCTTCCTACATTGTATTCTGTCTATCCCTTCTTAGTCAACTCACCTAGCCTGCCCAAGTTCTCCTGCAGAGATAGTAGGAACTGCAGATGCTGGAGAATCCGAGACAACAAGGAGCAGGGCTAGATGAACACAGCAGGCCAAGCAGCATCATAGGAGCAGAAAGGCTGACGTTTCGGGCCTAGACCCTTCATCAGAAAAGGGGGAGGGGAAGGGGGTTCTGAAATAAATAGGGAGAGAATGGGGGGCGGATTTTGCAACATTTGTTAAGAAGGCTTATAGGATCCTTGGATTTATAAATAGAGGCATGGAGTATAAAAGCAAAGAAGTGATGTTACACATCTACAAATCATTGGTCAGACCACATTTGGAGTATTGTGGTCCTTAAAGAAGGATGCTAAAGCCCTGGAGAAATTGCAAAGGAGACTTAGTAGAATCATGCCAGGAATGAGGGATTTTAAAAACAGAAAAGATGAGAGAATTGGGCTTATTCTCCTTGGAGCAGAGAGGATTTAAAGGTGACCCTGTTGAGGTTTTCAAAATTATGAACAATTTTGACAGGGTAAAGGAAGATATCCTATTTCCCCCAGTTGTTATGTCAGTAACTAAGGGGTCACAATTTCAAGATTGTCAGTAAGATAACTAGGAGTGAGGTGAGGAGAAATTTCTTTACTCAGAGAATTGTTAGGATTTGGAATCTTTTGCCTGGGAGAATGTTGAAGATAAATTCCATAGGAGGTTTCAGAAGAGACCAGGATTTATATTTGAAAGGGCTACGGAGATAGGGCTGGAGAATGAGACTGGCTGGGTAGCCCTTTCAGGAGCCATTTCAGACCACAATTGGTCAAATGGCCTCCTTCTGTTTTGTAAAATTCCATGATTCCATGCCTCCAGACGATTTATGGCATTTCCAACAGTGCTCGTGTTTAATAGGTTTCTTGTCAGTGTGAACATTTTGATATGCCAGCAGGTAAGAATAACTGACTGTCATGGCCAGTGGCCATAAAGAGAAATCCGAAAGGAAACAATATTCTCGTCAGTATTTTCATGTTTAAGTTCTGCTTCATTTAAAAATGAACAACTTTGCTGGATTTATAATATAGCCAAAGCTGAACACCTGAGTGTATTTTCAGAATCTTCTGAAGTAAAAATTTTTCAAAATGTTGCAGTACACAATGTCTCTAGAGAAGGGGGAACTGAAAGAAATCAGCATTGGTAGGGAAGTGGTGTTGGGGAAATTGATGAAATTGAAAGCGGATAAATATCCCTGGACTGATAATCTACAGAGTACTTAAGGAATTGGCCCTAAAAATAGTGGATGCTTTGGTGACCATTCTCTGAAATTCTACAACTCTGGAACAGATGCTATAAGTTGGAGGTTGGCTGATATAACCTCATTATTATAAAAAAGTTAAAGAGAAAACACAGAATTATGGAACGGTTATCCTGACATCAATAGAAATTGCTGGAAAAGCTCAGCAGGTCTGGCAGCATCTGTGATGCTGCCAAACCTGCTGAGCTTTTCCAGCAAATTTTGTTTTTGCTCCTGATTTACAGCATCTGCAGTTCTCTCAGTTTTTATTTAGCCTGACATCAGTAGTATGGTAATATTAGAGTCCATTATAAAAGATTTACAGCAGAGTTTTTGGAAAACAGTGACAAAATCGACTAAGTCAGCATAAGACTAGAAAACCATATAGGGGCAGAATTAGACCATTCAGCCCATCAATCTGTGATGATATTATGACTTTAAGAGGTGTATTTTGTCCTGTTTTGTTTTAAGAGAAGTTTTAAGGCAGAGGTGAAAAGCTGTCTTTTGAAAACTCAAAGTAAGCAGCTTGTGAGTCCTTGGGATTTTGTTTAAAAGTTGAAACAATAGAAGCAGCCTTAATGTGTGTGGTCAAGCTCCCACAGAACCAGGATTTTTAATTTTAGTTTCAGCAGTTGTTGCTGGGTCTCCTCAGGGTTTGGAAGCTGCAGTACATCTCTCCCTGCTACACCCTCTCCGAGTTTTCTCTTGGTGTTTTCCTACTGCTGGAGTTGCATGTGAAACAACCTGTTTTTCTGAATTTGTCTTTGTCAGGGGCATGTTTATGGGATGTTACTATACTGGAACAGTTAATTAGTAGTAGTTATTGTATCTATTATTTTGTTAAGCATTTTGATGGAGTTACAGCTCAGATAATTCTTTTTTTTCTTTTCACTTTTGTTGTATTTTACCTATAGTGTAAGAGTAAAATGTGTTTTGCTTCACGTTGAATAGTTTGACCTATCGAATTGCGTCCAGAACCTGATGTTTACCTTTAAAATAAGAAAAAGTTAGGGTTTGGGTCACCTTCTTAATATATTTTGAAGGGGTCCATAACAGATGCTACTCTGTCATTCAATCATGTTTCTCAACTCCATTCTCCTGCCTCCTCCCCATAACCCTTGATCCCCTTACCAATCAAGAACCTATCTATCTCAGCCTTAAAGACAGTCAATGGCTTGGCCTGCACAGCTCTCTGCAGCAATGACTTCCATATATCCGTACTGAAAGGGAAATTTTGCTTAGCAAATACACTGGAATTTTACAAGGATATAATTTGTAGAGTTAATGGCAGGAGCCGTGGATGTACTTTCCATGGACTTTCAGAATGCTTTCGATAAGGTCCCTCAAAAGAGATCAGCGTGTAAAATTAAAGCATATGTGAATGGATTGTGTTACTGACGTGAATAGAGAAATGGATGGCAGACACGAAACAAAAAAATAGGAATAAATGGGTCCTTTCTGAATGGCAGCTAGTGACCAGTGGGGTAGCAGAGAGATCTCAGTGCTTGGACCCCAGCTATTCACGATATATACTCATATTGTGACTTGTATGAAGGAACTAATGCAATATCTCCAAGTGACAGGTGACACAAAGTTAGGTGGGAGGTGGGGTGTTGGGGCTTTTGAGGGACTTAACTGTGAGGAAGATGGAGAGAAATTCAGTGTGATTTTGTTCAAGTTGAGTGCAGATGAAGTATAATTTGGATAAAAGGGAGGTCATCAACTTTGGTACCGAGAACAGAAATACAAATTATTGTCTGAATGGAGGTAGATTGGGAAAGGGGGAGGTGCACTAAGACCTGGGTGTCATTGTACGCAAAGTTACTGGAAGGGTGAACATACAGAGAATGTTCCTGATGGCTGGGAAGTCCAGAACCAGGGGTCATGAGATGGGTCAGGCTATTTAGGACTGATATCAGAAGTTTCTTCATCCAAGTATTCTTGCGTCTGTGGAATTCCCTGCCACAAAAAGTGGGTAATGTGAAAACATTGAATGTTTTCAAGAAGGAGTTAAATATAGTTCTTAGGGCTGAATTGATCAAACGATTTGGGACAAAGAG